CCCTAGTGCCTGCGACAGGGTTATGTAGCATCTTCAAAGGAAGCAGAAATATAAATAGAGATTATTAAAAGTGTAACACTAATTTGAATTGAATCAATCAAAATATGCAAGAAAAATCATTAAAAAATTGACTGTTAAATTATAATTCGTTTTCACTCTTGTTATTTTAAACGCAATATTTCTGCATATTAAATTCATTACGAATGAAAAATGAGTTAGAATCTCACTACGTACCACATCTAAGCTATGCTTAGCAAATCACCACAGTTTTCTTAAAAGATTATATTTTTTTCCCAATAATTGCAAATGATTTTGCTATATAGATACAGTATTGTTCAAAAGTTTGAAGCCACCCCCAGAATTAGCATGGAATGAACTTGATAGAAGAATGAAAAAAAAATGAAAAAGAACGCTTAGAGTGATCCAAAAAAATCAATTATCAAACTTATACTTTGAGAAACTTTTGCAACGAATACCAAAGATTTGTGTTGCAGTAATCAAGGCTAAAAGAGGATATTTTGACGACAGCAAAATTTAATCATAAAATACTTTTTTTTTCTTTTTTTCATAATAAAATTTCTAATAAAAAAAATCATGTCTCACTTATTTTAACCATGTATAATAATTTTATCTAATTTGGGCCAATTTAAAAAATTACCAGGGTGCCTCATATTTTTAAACTGTAGTGTATATGGTAAATTATTTCACTCTAAAATTACATCGAAATTTATTTCACTATATAAATTTCAATTTATTTTATTATAATAATAAACTACGACTTATTTACTATAGAAATACACTGTAAATTATTTTAACTGGTTGCTTGGTTCTTTTGATAATAGTGGCAGGAATTTAGTAAAAGACATAAGTCTTGAAAGAAAAGGTTTATTTGACAATAAATTGGCATGGATAATCTTGAGCCTCTTCCTGACTCATCTGCTTTCGGAATTCGCTGTTAGCATCGATGACTGCTTCAATATGAGCTCTGAAACGTCCACACGCCCCAATCAGATCATCTTTATCTGTTTCGAATATTGTACTAGTTATGGCGGACTTCATAGAGTTTATAGTATTATGGGAGAATTGATTCACTTCCATCTCGAATACGCCTCATATATATTAGTCCAACGAGTTCAACTCTAGAGAGCTAGGAAACCATATGTTCGGAATGATCGTGCAGATTGTCACTGATCATTTCTTGGATCGTCTTAGTCTTAAAAGGCGGTGTACAGTTTTGTTGATAGGCGTACGGTGTTCCCTTTGCTTGCGCTCTCTATTCAAGACCCTCACAACCCTCTATAACATTTCTTTACAGTCAACAGCATTGAACCTTAAGCCTTGAGGGTAACCATATGTCATTCCGTTGGTTGATCTTTTGATTCTGATCAAAATTCTTCTTAGAGAAAAACAAAAGCATTCCATGCTCTTGATGTTTCGATTTGGTCAACAAGCGCCTTGCACGGATCAGATGGTTATCTTTTGTCTTTGCAGACAGGAATTGGCGTCTCCGCATCACGTATGTCTTGAATTAAAGGACCTCATGCACAATTCTTCTGATAGTGTCTTGAAACCTTGAGCTCCTTAGGAATGGTCTTGATTGATTTTCTGGGGTTCTTATCGATAATCTTTTGCATCTTACGTACAAATGGCGTTCGGGCCCTTAGCGGAAAAAATGGCAACATACTGCGAGAAAATCTTCCGCTCAGTCATGAATCGAAAAAAATATGATCGCTCGTATGTATCACGTATGGTACTTAACTGACTGAGAAGCTACGAGACGAGGACGTACATCTGTTCTTTTTTTTTTTTTTGTAATCATCTTATTTAAAATTAATTTTATTAACTTTAGAGAATAATGTACCTAAATTCCATGTGTCATTGTTTTTCACTAAATAGAAGGATACAATACACCTCCCGAAGTTGAGGGATAAAAAATCAAAAACAGTAAAAGATTTTGACAAAACTATTTCAGTTCTTCTTCTACTTCTTCTTTGTTTCGCTCTTAAACACTGAAAAGTTTCGTTGATTCGCCGACATACTGAACCGATAACCATTCTATTCCATCTGTCGAGGTTGTGTGCCAGAGCCTGGGTCTCCGTGACTGATCTCTTGGTGAACTCATCGTGTGGCGTGTCTTGGGCGTTTTAACCTGGAGGAGCCCATCCTCCACCATATTAAACCATAGCCGATGTCCTCCAACGAGGTGGCTCGCTTTGGTCGCGTTGAGAAACCCTTCCGCCTTAGTCGGTGACGTGTGTCGAGGAGGTCCTTCGTCCAGGGGTGCCGCGTTAACACCACACCCTCACGTCAACTAAAACGGTTTACCGGCGCCATAACTTGGAGCCATAATTTAGAAGATGCTTGAGGACCATTAATGTCCATACATCTGAAGGTGCAGCGTGCCAGACATCAAAGGTACTGCAGGTTGAGAAGCCTTTAACCGAAATTCCTCAAATCCCAAACCCTCCAAAATCCAAAAGTTTTTCAGTTGCTCACATAACTTGCCACAAATGGGAAATTTCAGAAAGCAAGATGGATACCCGTAGCATGATCATTATGTTGCACTGACTTTTTCAGTTCAATTGTAATCAGAATCCATGTTTTGTTTTTATACAAATACTCTACCTGTATGTTACCTGAATGTATTGTAACATTTTCATCAAAACACGACATCGTTGGTAGAGACTGACAATCATGTACCCTCTCCCTCCAGTTTCTCACACCTCATGTAGAAGTAGTGTTTGACGTTGCATTTATATATATATATATATATATATATATATATATATATATATATATATATATAATGAAAAACAGACCACTTTAAGGTACCATTACAATAATTTATTTCACCAAAATCCTTTTTAAAGGACTCCGGATCATCAGGTAACAATTCCAACAACGAAATGAAAGAAAAAAATGGGATTAGACATTGATGGGTAGTGTAATTTTTGTAATTTAACAGGGGTGGGGGGTGAGAGTGTTAGGTAAGGAGACAAGGTAGAGTATAGGGAGGGGTTAATTTCATATCTCTTAAGCATGCTTTATATTGGGGTAGGAGGAGTGACCGAAACTTGACCTCTTTAGATGGTTAACTTAACGGAAATGATATGTAGGAATGGGAGGGGAGAAAAGGAAAGGAAAAAAGAGAGGAGACAGACGACAGTAATACCGATATATCCAAATGAGTGCTACGGCAAAGAGAGAGTGGGAGAGGGAAGTGAATCGAAAGAGGCTGTAGTTTTGTTTTAACAAAATTATGTAAAAGATAGATTTCAATGCTTGATAGAAATTTAGATGTCTAAAAAATGATGAATGTTATCAATTCAAATTCACATTGAGCTCTCAGGATTCCATCATAACTTATATATATATATATATATGACGTTTTATTGGCTCCTGAAATATCAATTTCAGTTGAGCTCTCTGGGGACGAGGTTTGGATTGGTAAACAGTGACTATTATAGCTATATAGCAAGACTCTTCACAGATGCGAATTGAGTCACTGTCGGTCACTGGGCGTGTTTCTAAAAATAAATACGCTAAAAAATACTGCTTTCATCTCTACCGTGCGCCGATGGCTTAATGGTTAGAATCTCCGACTGACACCAATTCATTCGGGTTTCGATCCTAGCTAGAGGCAACCGGGTGTCTAGCCACACTGATGAGCTGTGAAACAGAGAACAGTCTGTCTGTAGATGACGTTATATATATATGTATGTATGTATATATATATAACTACAGGTTGAGTATTCTTTATCGGAAATTCCAAAATCCGAAAGTTTTTCAGGTGTGGACATGACTTGACATAAATGGGAAATTTCAGAAAACAACATGGCTACCCGTAGCATGATTACGGCGTTACAAATAAAATACTGACTTTTTCCAGTTTTCATTACATTTAACTGTAATCAGAACCCATGTTTTCTTTTTTAAAAATACTGTATCTGTATATATTGTAACATTTTCATCAAAACACGACATCGTTGGTAGATGGGGTCTGATAGCTTACCAAATTTTCCTTCTCTCACTCATAATGATATCATCGATGATGTACCCTCTCTCTCTCTCTCTCTCTCTCCAGTTTCTCACACCTGATGTAGAAATAGTGTTTCACGTTGTATTTATATATATTTTTTTAAGTAGTGATCATGTTTTTTCTACACGGACAGAAACTGCAAAACCATTGTTTTTTACGTGAAATCTTAATTTCATCACTTAAAAATCCGTGTAAGCATCACGTGACCAACGTCATTACCTGTATCTGTATGTACATAGAACTTATTAGATTTTATATAAAACAACTTTCAGGGTATAAGTATAAACTGTGTTTTCAAATGTAAAGGGATATCTTTGTTATGCCCGTGTTCCATTCACAAAATGCTATATACAAATTGAATAGACGGTATTGCAAAATCTGATACCAGAGCCCCTTATGTCCACATATGGCTGTCTAAATTAGCGAGGGATGGGATCCGTTAGAATAAAACGCCCAAGACACTCCACACATGAGTCATCAAATGTATGTATAGCTGGCCAATCGTATTCGAGGATACCCGTCTACTAAGGCAGCAAGCCAATCCCTATTGCAGACGCTTGCTCAGCACCCACAGAGCTGAACAGACCCTCGTTACAGTTTCTGGGAAAGAGCTGCCTCTTCTGACTTCGTGCTAGCACAGTTATCGATGGGTCCCGTCTACCTAATTTCGCTTACAAGCTAAGGTTTTCAGGCACTTCCCAAGGGTGCTGGGATCGAGATTCGAACCCGAGTCTGAATGCGAATGTTCTAACCTCATGGCCACGTGCCCATATGTATTAAATGTACCGCTAAGGTTTTCAGGCACTTCCCAAGGGTGCTGGGATCGAGATTCGAACCCGAGTCTGAATGCGAATGTTCTAACCACATGGCCACGTGCCCATATGTATTAAATGTACCGCTAAGAAACATTATTATATATTTAAATGATAATCATAAATATCAATAAAAGGATCACAGTATA